GTCTTATTAATCGCGAAGAACTTATATGCAAAGTGTCAATTCAGAGAATAATATAATAGCCGAATACTTCTCATGCCTTGCTTATTAGTCACCATGATTTTATAACGAAATAATTATTTCCGTAACATGTCTTAGTAGTCGCTAGGGAATTCTTACATCAAAGTATCGGTAGAGAACAAAATAATACAACATTTCCAATAATCAATAACGGTATTAATATTTTATTATTACAATACACTTTGCCAAACAATGCAAGTATCTTTTATCAGGGAATAAACGAAATAATAAAGATTATATTTGAATCGGATTTTTATTAGAATAAGGAGAACTATTCTATTAGCAACGTCTTGCTGAAGATATGATTGAATGATGTGATCGGAACGATAATTTTTAGCTACTATCTACGACTCGTATTTATAACTAATTATCGTTTCGCTAAACTGTCCAAATTTTCGGATATGGGGTAATTGTTGTCTGTCCAAATTTTTGGTTATATCTGGACAATCTAATTTTTGTTGTCCAAACTTTTAGATATATCCGGATAGTCTGTGTTTGTCCACTTTTTTGGCCTAATCTGGCAACATCTGTATCATGTCGCGCGATTATGGAATCGGAGATTTTCGTGTGACAGAGCGGAAATCACGGAGGAATACTCGATCCTGACACCTTTCGTAGTAAATAGCAAAATCAGCTATTTACACTTGCCCTCATAGTGCCTCATAAAAGAGTAATGGTCCTCGAAAGTTGACTTACATTCAGGACAGTTGATTCCAAGTCACTGTCTGATGAACCAGAAGAAGATTCTGACATAACATACTTGTGAGGTGGCTTCGTCAATCTTCCAGACCTACACGAAATCTGGCAATACATTCCCACCGTCAACATTATTCCATCCCTTATTCCAGGTGCATAGACTCCTCTTATATCTTGCTTGAGTACGTAGACATTTTTATTCACTGGATCCACCACCCAACCTAGTTGGACACCTGCAGGAAAATGAATTTGTTTTTGAGTGCTTCAAACTTCGAGGAGATGGTGGAAACATCCTGGTCATAAGTTGTTGATGACTAAATTATGATATGTTCTGCTTGGTGTGAAGGCAACATCAGGGGCCCTAATTGTTCTTCCTCCAGTTGTAGAGAGATTAAGACCCCCTTGTGAGGAAGTAACAGCACCACCCTGGAGAGTTTTGGTATTATTAATTTTAATAATTTTTTCTATAATTTTTTTTATCTGTTGTTGTTGCCGTGGTAGTAGTAGTTGTTGGTTGTGTTGTAGATGATGAGGAGAGTTCGGAAAGGGAGACGAGATATTTAAGTTTTTTGATTTTGTTATGGACGGGGTAGATGGTGTTTTTGTTTGAGTTGTTGGTTGTCCATACATATACTCCATATTATTTAGCTGGACGTACGACTGGTTCTCATCTACACCAAAGTTCAAATTGTTTGAATGTATAGATGTGATCTGGGTGGTAAAGACGGGAGGATTTTTAGGCATGACATATTCTAACATCACTGTTGTGATGGAAAGAGAGTTTTTGTTTGTGGAGTTCGGTGCAAACCACAACAAAAAAAAAAAAAAGACATTACAGCTTTATATCAGACTTGTTAACCAGTGAAAATATTTTTCTGCATGTGTTCCGAAACGTTACACTGATACTATTGTTTTTATTTGCGGAAACAATTATTACAGTCACGATATGATGCAACAATATACAACATTTATATTTATAAGGTAGCAATTGACAATGTCAAGGAGTACCAATGTGCTATTCGTTCGTCATCTAACATACATACATACATACATACATACATACATACATACCCAGACATTCCACATGTGTTTGTCGCTACAACCCACGAACAAGTCCTCAAACGACGAACCCTTATTAACGCTCAACGATGACACAATTTATCAACAAAAGGGTTCGAACACTCGTCTACCCAAATTTTTTCCTCGCGACAGACCACCAAAAAAGCTTCTTTTCATACGCGGTATGCATCGGGTAAGTTTTTAAATACCATTTCTCTTCCCACACATCTTTGTCCATACGGCTGATCCTACATAATGCTCTTCTAGAATTACCAAATTATTTGTGGCAATTCCGTAAAGTCGCAAACAAATACGAAGACTCGGTATGCAATAGGGGTATGGCAGCATCCCCCCTTCTTCTTCCACCTCATTTGTACTTTTCCCTTTTGATTGCAATGATGAATCAGATAAGTAAGTCACATGATAAAATCTTTCCCGCTTCACCTCACTCTATATCTGCCTCATGAATCATTTAATGTTTTTAATCTCAGCGGCTTATTGTTACGCCCGCCATACACTTTTCAACGGTATAATACCAAAATGGAAAACTGAAAATCAAAATCTGTGGCATTCAATCTAGACCCACAACCAATGGAACTCTCTGATGCTTCTCAACCAATAACCGTCCCCTCAACAACTGACCCGGATGTTTTCCAAGAAATTCCTATATAACTAGCCAATAAACTCTCACTCTTACAATATCCATATACTGCGTCACATGTGCCACTAGAAGCACGTCTGAAACCCTAGTCACAAGTCCTCGAATTGGATATTCCTCTGCGCCAAACGCAAACTGGTATATCGAGATAGGGGGGGGGAAACGATAAAGAAGCAAAGACTATTTACGATAAGGATTTTGATGATGATGACACCTCGCGCGAACATGAAAATCTGATGCATAAACAGACATTGACGGCAACAATCATACCTACTCAGGCAAATTACATGATTGATGTGATGCATAACGGTATGTATCTCGATGCGATATTTATGGTGGCATGTACATGTGGAAAGAAGGATTGTCAAGCAAAATGTTTTGTATGCTATCTCATACACCATTCTCATATCCCGTTCCCGACAGGACAATTACATCCGACACCAGTAGGCACGGCCTATCAGCTTCGCCCAGGACTAAAGTATCTCGATAGAATCGATGAGAAGCAAGGTAGCCGATAAGGAAGAGGAGAATGCGCTCAAGGATAAGAATTCTGGTAAATCGGTTGACAAAAAGAAGAGTGCATACAATACTTATTTATTCTTGGGATTATTGGGCTTGGGGAAGACTGAATTATGACCAAGCAGTCGAGACACATACATCGATGAGAGAAAATGAAGCTTACGTCAGACTGTTTATTACGCTAATCGACGAAACGGAACCACGCCGATTCACATTGTTGATGTACCAGGTCATGAAAAGCTGAGATTCAAATTTACTGAATTCATTCCTATTACTCGAGGCGTTGTATTTTTGATATACGCATGCGGACCCAAAACCTTCCAGGAAGATCTGACACCTGAAACAACTATAAAAATTCTCGACGATCTAAAGGCCCTCGGGCAGGCATACTTGCGAACCAGCTAATGGATATACTATTCTTCTTGAGGAGCCATACGGTCCTGACTTTAAAATAAGGAAAGACTTAATGGATACGCCTGCTTCGGAAGGAAGTGCGACGGCATAGTCTTCGTCAGCAGACTATAATAGTGTTGGGAGAAGTGAACTTGTTATTGTCTTCCGTCATTAGAAGGGGATCGTTGAGTAATAATACGGGATGCAAAAATTCTGATTCATTAGGACCATGAGCCGAGTGCCCTTTGTAGGCTTTGCAAGTAAAAATCAAATTCTACTTTACAAATACTTGATCAGTTTCATCTACATGTTCGTTTCCAACCAAAATAACGACCAAAATTTCCCCAATGACTTAAATACCATATATTTTTTGTTGGTTTCTCTATATAATAAATCGAATGTGTTTATGTAAACTAAAAGAAAATAAAGTGTATAAATTAGAAAAGGTGAACATGCTTTCTCTTTCGATTACACTCTCATTCACTCACTCACCTGCAAAAGATAAAAGTGCGCAACACTTCTTGCCCTCCACTTAAGACTCAATTTCATCTCGGATATCTCTTTATCTACTTCTTCCATGAACTGAATAATAAAATCTACTAATTTGTGCTTGTGCATCTGTTCGGTATGGAAATTGGTAATCAAGAAGCTAATATCGTAACCCTATGTAGAAGAATCCTATAACGATTAGAATAACAGTAACGATACAATGCGTATAATTATGTCAAAACGTCATATTCGGTTCACCCACCGGAATAGGCTTCCTTCGCAAAATAATAAAGTGCTCGGCACGAAGCATCATGAATCTAGTAAACTTATGACAGAGAATCCTCTCTATCTCATCAGCTTGTTTGATCTTGATCGAAAACCGGATAGAATTCACTGACGGTTCTATTAAAACTTTCTCATTCTCATTGCGAGAAATTACCAGCGGGTTGAGAATTACTTCAGCCGAGGATCTGGGGGAAATTCGCAATAAAATGGAACTATGGTCAGGGAAGGGCTAAAAACCGAAAGATCGCTTTCTCGCTGGACGTATAATGTTGCTTACCGAGCTTCGATTTCGGGTTTGTTATGTCGTTCTACGACTTGCGAAGCAAAGTTTGTCAGGCAGAGTGCAGCTGTCAGAGTTGATCTAACTGCAGCTAGGTATGGATGTAGGGTATTCGACTGTTTGGTCCCAATTTAAAAGAGACTTTTTTTTACTAAACGGGTAGAGCAGCAACAATTCTTAATACCTCTAGCCAACTTATCTACCTAAGCCAGGTGTTTTCTCATTCTTACCATTGCTCAAAACGCACTTTTCTTTTCGCAGCAAAAATATCTACAATATTTCTTAGCGCTCTCATTAGGCTCGTGATGAGATCCCGTGACAACTGTGTGTCGTGCTGCAACAAAACGAACTGTAACGTCTTTTTTTTTTTGCGCCGAACTTCTTCCACAAACAGAACTTCTCTTTCTATCACAACAGTGACGTTGGAATATGTCCGTGCCTGAAAATCCACCCGTCATTTACCACCCAGACCGCATCTATACATTCGAACAATTTGAATTACTTAACGATTGGCTCAAAACCACCGATCAACCATTTCGAATTCGACTCGAAGGGAAGGCTCATCCCAACACCGCAAAAACCCATCTTCATGGCGCTTGTCGTCGCAGAGATCTGTGCTCAAGTTTACAAATGGAATATTCAGACTCGGCAGAACGGTGTTGTTACTTCCTCACAAGGGGGTTTTAATCTCTCTATGACTGGAGGAAGAACAATTAGGGTCCTTGATGTTACCTTCACCCCAAGTGAAACATATCATAATTTGAATGATCAACAACTAATGACCTTTCAAGGTGAAGCTTTCCATCCAACCTTTGTTGTAGAAGTTGAGAATGTTTCTGCTGCCCCAAAACTTGAAGCAATCAAAACCAAATTCAAGACTGATTACCGTATATTATCGTGAATAAGCACACCAACCCCCATGATTACCATGATTACCCGCACAATGTACCCCTCATTAACAGTTTATTACATAATGCAGTGATTATAAAATCATTCTATAATACAATTCTGGTTACTGTGATTACTATAAACTAACCCCCTAAGTTTGTTATTTACGTGACGGTTTTGCCGATCATTTTCATATGGTTGAGGGGGTGTGCTTATTCACAATAATTTCCTGCAGGTGTCCAACTGGGTTGGGTGGTGGATCCAGTGAATAAAAATGTCTATGTACTCAAGCAAGATAGAAGGGGATTCATGTGCACCTGGAATAAGGGATGGAATAATGTTGATGGTGGGAATGTATTGCCAAGTTTCGTGTTAAAGGTCTGGAAGATTGATGAAGCCACCTCACAAGTATGTTATGTTTTGTCTTGTTGTTTCCACAATTACAAACTCTTTAACTTATTGTGTGAATTGGCCCACAGCTACCATCAGAATCTTCTTCTTCTGGACTGGATCATCAGACAGTGACTTTGACTGTCCTAAATGTGATTTAACTTTCAAGGACAATTACTCTTTTATAGAGCACTTTGGGGACAAGCATGCATGCAAAAAGCACAAGAATCATTAAGGTGAGATTTGATGCTTTACCCATGTCTTCCATGTTTGGTCAGGGCATAATTTAGTGAACCCCAGCTTTGGTCCATTCACTGAATTGACAATGCTCTTTCATCCCCTAGAGCCTTGAATCCCTGTTTGTTGCATTTGCTGTGCCTTATATATTGCTGTCGCATCTGTGTCTTGCAAACCTTAATACATTATTCCACTTGTGAAAATGTTATGCTGTACATAATAAAATAGATAAATCGACTACCAGTGACATCTCAGATGGTTTTTCTTTGATGAAATCATTAACATTACAGACACAAAGTGTATTATGCATAGTTTAAATATTGGCAGATCTGATATTGTGAAAGCAACTAAGATATTTGCTACTAGTGTACAGCTTAAGATGTTATTATTACTATTACTATGGCAAGCACCTCCATAACATATTGTGATGTAACTCATTGCCTGGTGAAAATACCTGCTATAAAATGCAGATGAGTTCTTAATCTTTCCACAAGTGCAAAAGCCTAGGGTTCAAACCCTCCACCTTGCAGACCCCTCCATGTAATGACCCTCTTATTCTTCTATTTTCTTTTTTCCCTTTTGGCTCTTGAAAGAGTTTGGCCAATGTCCTTTTAAGAGGCTTTCCTCTTGGTAAATCTCATAGGTGATTCCTTCCTTGTCTAAATATTGTTTAATAGCTTTGCTGTCAAATATTTTAAAAATATAAGGAGCTATTTTTTCGCCTTGCTCCTGCTTTAAAATAGAGCACAAAGTGCTGTAATCGTTGGGCTCCATAGTAGATTTAATATAGATACAGTGTGTAACAAAAAAAAACCAGATTTTTTTATGCGACGTAAACGCGTCCCACGCGTCCGATTAGTGTTATGGTCGGGAAATAAAATGGGTTTTGGGGAGAGCGATTTATCTTTCGTGTAGGTGTGTTCGCCGACCGGGGGGATGTTACCAGGCTTAGCTCGTACTATCACCCTTACTACGATAGTTGTGCAATTAAGACTGAATTAAGCCTCA